ATGACTTTTTAACTTTTTACGAAAAGATGTGCAAAAAGTAGAGACAAAAGAGAATCTTTGACTTTTTGATATAGGTTGTTGGCTTTTTGGCTAATTGAGGCCTCGTTTGGGATGCTACATTTTTAGTCAATTAGCAAAAAAGTTACTAAATTAGCCAATTAGTCAATTAGTCATACCAAAAAGCCAACAATTACGGCTTCTCTCTACTTTTTGCACAGCTTTTCGTAATTAGTCAAAAAGTCATCCCAAGCATAAAAGTTTTTTTTACCTACCTTTTTAGTCAATTAGCCAAAAAGTTACTAAATTAGCCTGTTCCCAAACGAGGCCGGCTTTTTGGCTAAAATGAAGGATTCCCAAACGAGGCCTAAAAATCTTTTGACTTTCTAAATTTTTTTTAGTTACTTTTTTGACTAAAATAAACTATTGCCAAGCGAACCCTAAATAGTACGTCTTTTTTGTTTTTTTTTTTTTTCATGATGGTTGTTTAATCAGCCAAGTTATTCGAGCTTAACTCAAGATCGGGCTGTTAAAATCTAATTCACGATCATGTTTAACAAACCAAACTTAAATAAATTTTAAAACTTATTAAAATTATCAAATTAAGCTTGAATAGTTAATTGTTGGGCTCATTTGATTCATTTATCACCCTTATTTAAACCATTTAGTAAATGGGCGTGTTTGGATGGAATTGTCCTAATACATAATCTCGCCCAAACTCGCCTTTTTTTTCCACCTCTAAGAAGCTCCTACCTAGACTGCCTTTTCAAATTATGATAAAGCAATTGTAATTTTATATCAAAAAGGCTAAGTGACTTCACAAATATAATGAGAGGGCAGTTAGTTCAGTTATTCATATAACTATTTCTTGGTATATGAGAAGTTCAAAATTTTAAGATTTGAATTGATGGAATAACTGTAAGTCTTTCATTATAATCTAACTTATAAACCCGCTAATATCTTTCCCCCTCCCCCAAAAAAAAAAGCTTCACAAGCACAACATAATTTTAAAGAAAATTACAAATAAGTTGGACAGTGGTAAAATAATCTCATTTTTTATGGGGGTGCAAGTCCTATTCTGTCTAGGGTGCAAATTTTTTCCGTGCACCTAATGTTGTGTTTAGATCATGAATTTAGATAAAAATTTAAAAAGAAAA